ATGCAGTAGAACAAATAATTTAAAACATACGTTCCCATAACACGATTAGAGTGGCATCTGGCTTCAAACTTAAAATTCTTGTTACAAACAAAAGTATTTCAGTGGGTTACATTTGGATCAAATGTAATAGTGAGAAATAAATGGTGCTGTATTCTACCACAGTTTCCTACAAAGCATGGTATTTTGATATTGCAATGGCAGCATATGTTTTTTGGCTCCAGTTTAAGGGCACTTAAAAATCTGCGGGTACATTTCAAAATACATGTAGTACAAAATACATGGAAAACTCTGAAAGTATTGCCTCCTATTTATTTCCATGGAAATTACAACAGATACAAAGAGCACAATGACACTATTTGATAAAGCAAATTATTAGCTACGAAACTATTTTTCAGCATAGTCACCATCATTAGCTATGTATGGCACACTTGTAAAAATCTGCACCAATGGATGTGATCCACTGTTTCTCACCTGCTAAGAAAACGTTGCCCCTGCAGTCCATCTTTCATTGGTGAGCACAGATGGAAGTCAGGAGCTAAATCCAGATCATATGGTGGGTGGGGTAGGACAGTCCAGACAAGATTGCCAATATGCTCCCACGTCTTCAAATCAGCACTGAGCCTGGCATTATTTTATTGCAAGAGGATGATTGTCCCAGGCCTGATTCTGGATATTCGAGCCTTCAGCTTAGTCATAATCACAGTAAAGTGAGTAGAACTGATGGTTTTTCAGGGTTCCTGGAAACTTAGAAGAATCTCCTTCTTACTTTCCCAAAAGACAGTGCACATCATTTTACCTACTAAAGGCTGCATCTTGAGCTATTTCTGTTCCTGTGTGAGCATTTGTGGGGCCCACCTGGTGCAAACTTATATCTATTCCAATACTGTCATTGTTTCCAGTGCACTGAAGCTGATATTCAGCTCCATACACAGTTCCATGGTCATAATCTACTGATTTGCATGGAATAGCTGATAGAGACATTCTTCATTTTGTAATGTGACAACAGTGCATGGTCATCTGGGACATGGCTTGTCTTTCATGTCATTGTTGCTACTGCTGAAATGCACCATCTACCACCTCATGCACTCATGTCCACTGTTTGGTCTCCATAAACATTCATCAAGTATCACTGAATGTCAATGGGTTCTTTTCTGTATGAAGAAATTTGAACTCTACATCTTTGCTTCAGACATACTCCCATGTCAGACATCATTTTATCAGACTATTTCTCTGCTGGTATTTGTTTCATTGCAACAAAATGCAACAGAATATTGGTAGAAAGGTTCATCCTCTACTGCCATACCATCAACATCCCCCTGTGACATTGTGGGTCAACATAATAAAATAGAAATCATTACTTTTGGAGCAAGCCTTACAGTCACATACAGATATATGGTTCAAAAATACTATGGTCTTGATTTACAATGCATTATATCTGCTTATCTATATAAAATACATATTTCCACAATATACATAATATTTTTAAAAATTATTTTTATATGATTGCTTTATTTTTAAAGGATCCATTGCCTTGAGAGTTGCTGGCAACACTGCAGCACATAAGCCTTAAGATGATGAAGCTGCTGGGGGAAATAGGAAAGGGCAATGGGGAAATATTTAAAAGGAATAAAAGAGCTGTTCTTTAAGGAAGTGACAAGACTAGCTGCCCAGCTGAAGTGCCTCTACACCAATGCATGCAGCTTGGAAAATAAACAGAGGAGCTGGAAGCGACTGTGCTACTAGAAAACCACGGTATAGTTGCCATCATTGAAACCTGGTGGGATGATTCCCATGACCGTAGAGTGGCTATTGACAGTTACAAGCTGCTCAGAATTGACAGGCAAGTAAGGAGGGGAGGAGGTGTTGCTATCTACATTGGGAAAGGAATAGAATGTGAAGAGCTGTCGCTAAACAATAGTCACAAGCAAGTTGAAATTCAATGGATCACAGATAGAGACCGAGGTGGCAAAGGGAGACTTGTGATTGGTTTCTAATACAGGCCACCAGATCAGTCAGAGCTTGTCGATGAGGCCTTCTACCTCCAGGTATAGGAGGCATTGTGACTGCAAGCGCTCATCCTTCTGGCAGACTTCAACCAGCCAGATATCTGCTGGAAAAGTAGCATGGAGACCTGTAGGCAAGCCAAGAGGTTCCTGAAATACATTGAGGATAACTTCCTGAGTCAAATAATTGAATAATCCCAGAGGGGGAATACTGGACCTGCTGTTCACCGCAGCAAATGATCAATAGATTGGTAACATCAGGATAGGAGGCTGTCTGGGCTGTAGTGACCATGCCACTATTGAGTTCAAGCTCCAGAGGGATATGAGACAGGCAAAGAGTAGAATTAGAATGCTAAATTTCAGGGAAGCTAACATCTAGCTCTTCAGGGAGTTAGTCAACAAAACCCCCTGGAAACTGTTCTCATATGCGGAGTGGAGCTGGCAGATCTTTAAAGAAGCTTTCCTCAGCATACTAGAGCTCTATATTTCCAGGTGTAGCAAGTCAGGACAGAAAACAAGAGGCTGGTGTGGCTGAACTGGGACCTGCTGGTCAAACTGAAGAACAAGAAGAAAATGCACAGGCAGTGGAAACAGGGACAGGTACCGTGGGAAGACTATGAGAAAGCTGCTGGGGTGTGTAGGAATGAGATCAGGAAAGCCAATGCCCAGTTTGAACTATATTTGGCAGGGGATGCCAAGAAGAACAAGAAAGGCTTCTACAGGTACCTCAATCAGAAAAGAACAGTCTAGAAAAGCATAATCTGCCCAATGAGTGACACAGGCAAGCTGGTAACAACAGACAAGAAGAAGAATTAACAACAGTTTTGCTTCAGTCTTCTCTGATAACTTCTTGCCACACAGCTTTCAAATATTTGGTTTGATAGGAGGGGATCAGGGATGCAATGTCCCTCCCACTGTAAGAGAAGATCAGGTTCATGACCACATAAGGAACCTGAACATCCATAAGTCTATGGGTCCCAGTGACATGCAACCCAGAAACCTGAGGGAATTAGCTGATGTAGTCGCCAAGCCACTCTCAATGATATTAGGAAAATCATGGCAATAGGTGAAGTCCCTGGTGACTGAAAAAAAGGAAACTTTAGACCCATTTTTAAGAAGGGTAAAAAGGATGATCCTGGGAATCCACCATCAGTCCCACCTACGTGCCAGGAAAAATCATGGAGCAGGTCCTCCTGGAATTTATGATAAGGCGCATGGAAGATATAGAGATGATATGGGAGAACAAGTGTGGCTTCACCAAGGGCAAATCCTGTCTGATCAACCAAGTGGCCTTTTTATGATGGTGTCATTGCATCAGTGGACCAGTGAAGAGCCACTATCTGGACTTCATAAGGCCTTCAACACAGTACTCCACAACATCTTTCTCTCCAAATTGGAAAGATATGGATTTGATGGGTGGACTGTTCAGTGGACGAAGAACTGACTGCAGGATTGAGTCTAAAGAGCAGTGGTCAATGGCTCATTGTGTAGATGGAGGTCAGTGATGAGTGGTGTCCCCCAGGGGTCAGTGCTACCAATAATCTTTAATATCTTCATCAGTGACAATGATGACAGTGGGGCTGAGTGCACCCTCAGCAAGTTTGCTGATGACACCAAGCAGTGGGATGTGATTGACACACCAGAGGGATGGAATCCCATTCAGAGGGCTCTAGGCAGGCTTGAATAGTGCGCCCAGGTGAATCTCATGAGGTTCAACAAATCTAAATGAAAGATCTTGCACCTAAGTCAAGGCAACCTTCGCTACCAGTACAATCTGTAGGATGAAAGAATTGAGTGCAATCCTACCGAAAAGGATCTGGGGGTACTGATGGATGGGAAGCTGTACATGAGCCAGCAATGTGCCTTTACAGCCCAGAAAGCCCAGGAAGTATCCTTGTCTGCATCAAAAGAAGCATGGCCAGCAGGTTGAAGAAGGTGAACCTGCCCCTCTACTTCGCACTGGTGAAGCCTCACCTGGTATACTGGTGTACTGGTGTACTCCTCATTACAGGAGATACATGGACCTGTTGGAGCATGTTAAGAGAAGAGCCACAAAAATGATCTAAGAAATGGAACACCGCTCCTATGAGGACAGGCTGAAATATCTGGTGCTGTTCATACTGGAGAAGAGGAGGCTCCGAAGTGACCTCATAGCATCCTTTCAGTACCTGAAGGGAGCTAGAAAAAAGAAGAGGACAGACTCTTTACCAGGGTCTGTGGTGATAGAACAATAGGAAATGGCTTCAAGCTCAAAGAGGGTAGAATTAGGTTGGCCATAAGGAAAAAGTCTTTTACAGCAAGGGTAGTGAGGTACTGCAACAGGTTGCCTAGAGATGTGGTTGATGCCCTGTCCCTGGAGACTGTCAAGAGAAGGCTGGGTCAAGCCCTGGACAACCTGATTTAGCTAGGCACGTCTCTGTTCACTGCAGGGGAGCTGGACTAGATAACCTCTAAATGTCCCTACCAACTCTAAGGATTCTATTTGTGTTACTTTAGAAGACCTTGTGCTTGTTCATTAACTTTCAACATTTCTAGACTTACAATAATGGTATTCAAGCTTATTTAAACTTGTGTATTAATTTTTCATAAATGAGTTTATTGGACTAGTGATTTGGTCTAAAAAGACTGTGAGCACCTACTGATGATGATCTGTTCACAAATGTTGAGATAAAAAATAAATCTTCCTTGGATGAGCATCCCATTACTAAGACAGTCTAAATGGGTCTTTGGTGTAAAATATAATCTTTTCCTTCTATTCCCTTCCAACTTCCCACTATGTCATCATCAGAAGTAATAGGGGGTTTTTAACCCTTGATTTGTCATAGTTAACCCTTTTGCAATGGAGAACATCAAGGCTCTTTGTTCTACTCATTCCAAGTTTCCATCTTGGAGCATCAGTTGTATAATTTCAGCAATTTTTTCAGTGAATATTTGTGAATACCTTCTTTTTAATCAGTGTTCACCACTTTTCCGCTCTGCTTGCATTCAACGAATTAGGACAAAGCTGTTGAGTGGGTTCTCACTTTTTCTTAGACTTTCCTTAAGGAGTAAAACCAAAGCAGTGTGCTGACTTTCTTTTTGGCCTGTTAATCTGGGATGTTTTTCTATTTTTAATTAGCTGCTCAAATGCATTTGTCATGAACATTTTGTAGAATTCTGTTATCACTTTCTTTCTAAATCACAGAGAAATTCAGGGTTTTCTTTAGATTCAAATTTTCTTTAGATATTCTTGTACTTTACATTACATACATAACTTTAATTAGCAATGTATAGTGGACAAATACACTGTGTTTGAGGCAAATGCCAGAGATCATTCTCAGGGAAAATTCCCACTGACATCCATATGGGTTTTGTCTGAGTAAAAATTTTGTGATTTGGCTTTTTGTTTTAGAGGATTGGAATCATCTTTTTTTTACTCTGATCACTCATTTGGCCTCCAAGTACCTTGGCTAGCTTGATTTTCAGTAAATGTCTGAAAGCTGTACTGGTACACTTCCAGCATCATAGGATTCATATTTATCCTTATATGTGTATTTGGACTTCTTCAAGTCATCACAGCTATTTCTGGCTCATTGTCCTAATTGTAGAACTCTTCCCATTTTCAAACAAGAACTGATTCTGAATCCTGCTATTTTTACAGCAGAGAGTTGAACTTTTCCTTTATATCCATGTATATATAATCAAAATTTAGTTCAAATATCTCTAGATCTGTATTATAAAGTATTGTTTCATTAGGTAGTCTCATAAAAAAATATATAGACACCTGCATTCCAGGAGGTCCTGTAGTCTCTTATTCAAGGGTAAGATAACTTGGCAGATTCAGAGAAAATAGATAAACTGTTCTGATCCAGATGTAAGTGTGAAATGCAGTTAAAGGACATTGAAATGGTTACTAGGAAAATTAAACATAACTTGACCAAATGTGAACACTAAAAAAAAAAAACAACTGGCAATTGAAAATAATTGCTATAGTGATTCCTGAGCTTCATTAACTGTGATGTTGATTTTTATGTGAAGCATAAGTAGTGCAAAAGAACTCTGTGATCCTTAGGTCGGACATCAGGGGGAAATTCTTTACCCAGAGAGTGGTGAGGTGCTGGAACAGGCTGTCCAGAGAGGTTGTGGATGCCCCATCCTTGGAGGTATTCAAGGCCAGGTTGGATGGGGCCCTGGGCAGCCTGGTTTAGCATTAAATGTGGAGGTTGGTGGCCCTGCATGTGGCAAGGGGGTTGGAGATTCATGATCCTTGAGGTCCCTTCCAACCCTGGCCGTTCTGTGATCCTGTGATTCTGTGATGTTAAGTGATATTTGCACTTTCAAAGCAGAGATCCACTGAATGTAGATCAATTGGTACCCTTTCTTGATTTCTTCTTGAATATATTTTATTAATCTGAATAGTATATGAAATTTGAAGTGTAAAACAAGCTACAGTGCTAGAGTTTACTTTAGATTTGTTTGATATACTACCATAATATATGATATATATATATAATTTTATATAAATATATTATAATGCATAATATAATATATAACAATATAATATATAACAATATAATATATTATAATATAATATACAATACCAAATATATATAGTAGAGTTTCAGAGTCATATTTGTACTTGGATGTTAGAGAAAAACTTCCTGCAAGCCTACCACATTACTAGATTCCCAGGGATTGGTAGAAAGCAAATATCAATCATGGGACTGCCTTTTAAGGCAGATATACAAACGATCTCTTCATAGAGGTAAAAAAGACATGGAAATGCTAATTTAAGACAGTCATTTAGATGTCAGTGTGTTCACATACCTGTTCTACGTGTCAAGACCAATCAATGATCAAGATGAATAACACTGGATCAGAGTGTCTATGAATTAGGGTGCAACAGAGAATGCTTGAGATGTTGCAAATTAGGAGAGAATGAACAGTGTGTATATCGCCCAAGAGTACTTCTAAATTTCCAAGCAACCTGTGTCCTATTACCCATCAAGATTATTATTTTATTTTTTCCAAAGTACTCTTATTCTCTTGTTTCAGATTTATGAAAAAAATATTACTTTTTTTACTAGGCTGATAAACATATAAAAAAAACTATAGTAAGAGTAGTTTACATGACCAATGATACAGATCTGAAATGTATGTGATTGTGGTAGTCACGGTCAGAAGGGGATACAGCAGTGTATGTTTTTTTTAGTCATGATACACTGGCATTTCAGAAAGGGCTCTGAGCAGTGGATATTTTTCCCACATAATCTCTGCAATCATTCAGCACACTTCAGTTTTCCTCACTTAGCTTGCATCCCAGAGTTTAGCTTTTAACATTTAGATATGATTAGACTATGTTTTTAGCTAGTTTGAGTGGCAGAAGACCATATTCTTCTCAGCTTTTTCTTTATCTTGTTTTCTGCAGACCCCCTATCCTTCCCTTTGTTCTTCCCAAATTTTATATTGAAAGGATGCTGTCCTTTTTTTTCCTTCACTCTGCATCCCGTAACATATCCCACAGCACTAGATAGTGATTCCCCTAGTCCAAAAGGAGATGTGGCACTGACTCATCTACATGGTTTAATTGTGAACAAGTGATCTGGAGTAATTTTCTTTTTTCTTGTCTTGTAACAACACGGTGGGTTTAGAGGGAAGTGAATTTTTTTCTACCTCCTGAGTCACACCTCCTTTAGTCAGCAGGGGTCACTACAGTGATGAAGTCATTCAGGACTCGAATAATAGACAGCAGTTAGTTATCAAAAGCTTTCTTAACAACAACTAACAACAACAGCTACTTGAAAGTAAAATTGGCTAAGTTGCTAATTACGATCAATAAGCTTTATGGGTAAGACAATTTTAGGCAATGGCTACTACAAAGAGTAAAAAAATAAAGGAAGATGAAGAGAAAAAATAGAAAACAAGGAAACACAGACAGACAGATATACAAATACAGCAAAGCAGAGCAGTTCACTGCTCCATGATCAGTGATGTCTTGGTTTCAGGTGTTGATATTCGGTAGAGATGGGTTATAGAAGGTTGTGTTGTTCAGTTGACAGTAACTAAATACAACAGTACAAACTCTTACTTATAGTCTGAAGTGACTGAGCTACTTTTGGAGTGACAGCTTCTGGCTTTGGGATCTCAACAGGACTTCCTTTATTCCTGCCTTTCAGGCCTTGCAAATTTAAGTCAGTGGACAAGAAGCAGCAGGGGGAGGCTAGCTTGTATGTCTTCACAGGATGAAACAGTATCATCTTTCTATTTCCTGTATCAAGCTGGTTTGATTTGCTCCCGTGTCAATCTTCAGCCAATCAACACTCTTGGTCCCTCCCTTTCAAACAACTTTAGAGAGACTTCCAAATGTAAAATTGTCTATATAATGGTGTTGATTACCTCATGTTGATTTGAAGTACTCCTTACCAGTCTTAGACATTTCCTGATTATAATGTTTATTCTCTTTATTCACCTCTTTTTTTTTTTTTTTTTTTTTAGGAGCATCCGAGACCAGAGTATGAAACCAAACTGCTGCAGAAAAAGCTGAAAAACAAAAACATGAATACAGAAAATACAAATGAAGTAAGTTGCAGCTTATTTTTTCTTTTACTCAACAGCCTAGGCTGTCTCTGGTCTTAACCTCTTTAATGATGTTGGTTAGCACCACGTCTAGCAAAACCTCACTTCTTGTTGGTCTGTCCAATACCTGAGCAAGGAAGCTATTGTCAACATGGATTTCTTGCAGCTTGCCATGTTGCTCTCCTACCAGATATCTAGATGGTTGAAATCACGCATTGGGATGAGAGCCTGTGAGTGTAATGCCTCTTGTAGCAGAAGAAGGCTTTGTCAACAATCTCCCCTTGACCAGACAGCCTGTAGAAGACCATTACCACCACATGTCCTTTATTGGTCTGTTCCTTAATTTTAACCCACAGATGTACCAGTGCTTTTCACTTTAGAAGATCCTGAAAAGTTAGACATTAAATATGATGAGTACTGAATACTAGAATAGCCATTCCACCTTATTTTTTGAGATTTTAATCCTTTATTTCTCTGCCTTTGAATAGTTGTATGTTTTACCCATTGTAAGACTTACAAAAAGGTAGATTTTGCATGGTTTCTTGATATTAAGGCATAGGCTTCCATGAGATCTCTGGCTTAGTAATTTCATCATTTTGGATATTAGTAATGGACATCCCCTAGTATTGGGCTTTTCATCAAATAGAGGTCTCTCTGCAGTTAAAGATTTCCTCATTTTATATGAGTACACAGATGCCTGTGAAGTCTCAGTATCACTGTATCTTCATTCACTGTCATACCATGACATAGATCTCTATGAATTTCTTGCCTAAATATATTTTGAGAACTAGTATAACTAAGTCATTCATTTTGCACATAGCTGGTAAACAGCTGTAATTCGCTGTATGCTTTGTCAACAGTTTATGGACTGTTTTGGCCTGGTTCTGTGACTAGTGGGATGGAGGAATCAGTGGACCCATACCCGGGAAAAGGAAAAGGGTAGGGAGACGGGCCTAAAAACAAAACAGCGGCAACCATCTGCAGAGAAATAAATTAACTTACTAAATGTGACATTGGAATGCAAGATAACACATCATAGTACTATATAATAACAAATGAAGTTAATAAATAAAATGAGAATGTTTGAAAACCAAAGGCCTTACTCTGAGTAACTTGAGGCGATATGGCCTGGAGCACAGATGTGTTGGAAGGTTGAAAAAAAGAGGGATGTCTTATGATCTATGAGCAGTTTTATCTTTCCCTCTGAAGAGAAAAAAAACAGAACTATGCAAAGTCCTCTGGGGTATGTAGATCTCTTCTGAGAACCAGGTACCCAGAACTATCTACAGAACCAAAGCATTAATTCTTTTAACTCCCAGTGCAGTATATGATGTTATGATGCAAAATACAGATAAAAAAAAAATCATAAAACCATGACAGCTCTGACCCTAGTGGCTAAAACTTCTAATTACTTACCTAAAATGAAATCAGAAGTCTGTTGTTCCACAGCTGATGCTTTCAGGACAATTATGATGCTAAAATTATACTCTTGAGAATACTAAATTAGAGTTTACTTAGATGTATATTCCTGTGATACTACTTGTGTTTTTCCAGTATATTTGTCCCTCTGTTCTGGCAAGGATGTGACTAGTTTTACAGCAACAAATTTTTTGCGGAAATCTCATGTTTAGTACAATTTCATTCAGTGTCCTGAGTACAGATATAATTATGAACTTTATCTAACTGAAGCCTAAGCTGCTTATTTACAAAAGTGATGCAGATCTTTCTATTAAAGTGAGTGGATGCCTTACTCCAGTTTTTGGAGGAGATGGTTCAACATGTATACCCAGAACAAGATTAAGACACCAGATGAGTCCAAATGTTCACCAAATGGTTTATTACAGGTTCTAAGCAGTTAAGGAATGCAGGGAAGATGGGGAGGTCAACAATCAGGAATCCTAGTAAACAGGTTATGATGTAGAGACAGTCACCATTAGGAGCCCAGTGATATCTTGCTGGTTTGAAGGGGGTTGCAGGCTGATCAGTGATGTCTTATTGACCTGTACTGCTGCTGCTCAGTGGAGGGGGCACCCACCACTACCTCTGAACTTTTTTTTTTTTTAATTCTTCATTCTGCTCTCATGCATCTCTGGTTGCTCAAGGCAATAGCCTTCCCTCCAAGTGTGGGAGTGGAGTCAGCAGTTGATCATGCAACAATCACGTCCACTATCTGGGCTGTTGGACACGTGCTAACTCCATAGCAATCATTTTCTCCAAAATAAGTAATAAAGTCTGCAGTTACTGACTTACAATTGTATTGTGTCCAGTGAAAGACTATAACAGATTACAGATTTATAGTGAAGTCTCAGATTAAATAATAAGACTCCTGAAGACTGCTGGATTTTGATTTAATGCCAATGCTTGAATAAGGAAAACTAGAGTATTTTCCCTTTCCTGTGTCTGGTTATAAACTCCTGTATCTGAGTACATTTTTTACCTTCCGTTGACCATGCTTATAGGGAAAATTGTATGCTATTGATCCCCAATGTTAAAACAGAAGCCTACATTTGGGACAAATTTACATAAATAGCTTGTGGAAACAACATTAAATTAAGATAGTTGCCAAGATGATTACGATATTATAATAATGCATGCAGCAATCGTGTCTGCATTTTTAAATACATTTACATTAAACTTCTTTGGGTATCTGCTCCCTGAAAAGCTGAAGAAGCCAGTTGAAACTGCTCAACTTTTTTAGCTATTATCACATTTAACTGAAAAAGACACTTGCCTGCTGATCTGTTAATTTTTATGATACACTTGATTTTGAAATAGGATGGCAAGCTGTTTGGAAGATCTTTCACATTGTGGTATTTCATGAAATAGGTAAACTTGAATTCTTAATTGACCATTCAAATAATTTTTATTGATGCCACCTGGGAATCATACAAATTAAGGAGGAAGAGGCCCCATGTTTACTTATGGAATAATTGCTAATAGTTTGAAGTTCAGGAACAGCTTGGTAGAATTTTTCACTTTAGAGCTGAAATTTGTAGTATTGATTGTTCTGATAAACTGAATGTTCAAGCAACTTAAATAACAAAATAAGGGAATCTTTCAAAGAGACAGAAAAACAATATGTTTTTTTCCCCCGGTAATTGTACATCAGTGGAAAGCAATGAAAGATCCCTATTAAAAGACTGCCTTATTCAAAGCTGCAAATGAGAATTGCAATAAAAGTGTACCACACAACATTTCTCATAGAAGAAATCCATCCTACTCGGGAATTCCTTAAAAAGTGTTGGTTAATTTCTGCCTACAGATTTAAGACATAAGTACTTTAAGGAGATGAACAATGTAACAAAATACAGAAAAAAAAATCTATTTTACATATTCATAATTCATCTACTTATGAATAAGCAAAATTGCTTCTGATAGGATCTTGACAACACCAAGAAAAGTATTCACAGGTAAACCAATAGTCGCACACACACAGATGAGTTGAACTCATCCAGCTGGTGAAGGGGATCTTCAACTGAACAGCAACCCAGGGAACAACCTAGATCCAAAAGATGTTCTTGCATCTCTGGCTGGCCCTTATATGAACCCAGGGTGGCTCCACCTTGGATCCACCCCTTCTGATCACATGGGGAGCACAGATGCAAACAATTTGCCTGTGCTCCCTAGGCCAGCTACACCCCTTCACCAGGTGCTCAATCACCAGCTGAAGTTGTGACCTAACAGCTCCCTACAACGATTTATCAAAATTTTGAAATTTTAGGTTTAAGGTGTTTCAAAATATACTGTGTAAGGAAAGAGTCTTTTTATGTTCGAATTTTTTGTAGAACAATTATTCTGATATTAATTTTACACTTTTTGTCCTACTGCATGCAACACATATTTAAAGGTATCAGAAAAGAAGTTTTACCAGGTCTTTTGAGGTAATGGATCTGTGACAATGATCAGATATGCTACCTTATCAATCCTCCCACACAGTTGCTAACATACAAAAAAGTTGTTTTATTTATTGGAGATTATTATTTATTGTAACTGTTTCATTACTTATGCTTTTCTGAAGGATAACTTACAAATACCATGCAAAACACCATTTCATGAAAGGAGATATTTTATCTTGACAAAAATGATTCTGAATAGTATGAAAATTAAAGCCAATACGATCTTTTTCGGCAGTAGTTTAAGGGCAAAATTATCAAATATAGAAATGTGAAATATGTGGCCTTAACTTATAGATAAAGCAAACAAAACAATTTCAAATAATTCTTATTTTTATTAGTTTTAACCATAAGGAAGCTATTGCTATTGTTTTCCTTTCACTGGATCTGTTGTCAATTAACTGGCAGCGTAGCAAATTGTAGTGTTCTTAAGGAAATATAATTTCAAGCTTGTGAGTTATAGTACTAGATATCATGAAGATCACAACAAAACTAGAGGAATGGCCTGCTATTCTCAAAACAATATTGACAGCAAATATGTTGCATGTGATAAATAAAAAATAACCTATAAATATTATTCCTTACTGGGATAAGATAAACTTGTAGAAACAAAGGGAATCAATTAGTAAATTATGATGTACTGAAGAACTTTGAGAGTTGAAGTATGTTTTCTGTGTTTTCCACGTCTTTTAAAAGAGCAACACAGAATTGTTTTTTCCTAAATTTTATAAAGTTTATAGAGTTCAGGATTTTTCTAGACATGAGTTCTAGCTTAGTCCATTGATGGAACAAGAGGATTTCATTGCAATTTCAACCAAATCATTTGTAGTTTTAAGCTATTTCAATAGCATGTTTAAGATTGACCAAAGTTTCTTGTTCCTAAGATATTGCCAAATATTAAGTCCTCTTACTCTGCTAGATTCTGATGCGGCAATTCAATACAAATAGGAGTCCAGCAACAGTTTGTGCAGTTCGTGAATTGTTAGAAGTGAATTTTTAATTCTCTTGCAAATATTAGAATTGCTGACTCTATCTGCACATTATTACAATTTTAAGCAAAAATCTAATTAATGTATTTGTTTGTTGCTAGTTGCTTGAGGTGGACAAATAAAGA